TTCTGTCTTCTTGTTTTCAACAGGGTCTCACTATGTAGTCCAGGCTGGCCTTGAACACAGATCACTAGCCCCAGCCTCGAGGATGCTGGGAGTACAAGTATATTCCACTTCTCTCTGACCCTGGATTCTTGCATCTTCTTTAGGAATCCTGTTTAGAAGCTTTTCGTTAAGTGCGGATTTCTACCCAATCATGGCCTCATCATAATGCCACTTCTGATTAATTCAAACAGCACCCTTAATGCCTTCTCTACCATGCAAAACACATCATCACTTACACATGGATGTAGGAGGCAGCTTGAGGCTGTGAACTAAACACCTTTGACTAGCTTACAAACTAACCCACGGGTCCCTAATCTTTTCTCAGTAAGAAGTTACTATTTTGCATTTTTCTTTACTATCATTATTTAAAAACACACACTAACCTTAAACGAGGCAGGGCACCCTACAGTGTAATTCAGTTCTTTAGCATGTACCTGTGGCAGCACATACCTGGTTGTTTCACAAGGTGAAAACAGAGGAGTTAGCAAGGGTTGGAAGGTGGGATGAAATGATGAAACAGCTTATTAGAAAAAGCAAGAAAAAAAAACCTCACTTTCAAAGAGACGTATGTGAGAAATTGCAGACCTCCACTTCGATTTATTTCCTTACTTTTATAGAGTGTTTCTGCCTTTTGTTTCTTCTATGTTGCAATACGGTGTTCAGCCTCCTCCAAGGCGGCTGGAGAAATGGCTCCATGGTCAAAAGCACACACTGTCCTTGCAGAGGACTCCGGTCAGGCAGCTCACACCCACCTATAACTTGAGTTTCAAGGGGATCTGACCCCTTCTGGCTTTGTACTGGGCACCTGTACTCACACGCACATTCCCAACACACATACATACACCTAGCAAATGAACTCTAGCCTCAGAATCACTTCTGCTTTAATCTAGCTTGTTGAAATCTGTTCCTGAATTGAATGAAGTTGCCCTGACATCTCTGCAATACACTTGCTGGCAAACACAGATTGTAACTATTGTCCTTTACAGAAGTTAACAGCACTCCTACACACCTTGTCGGCTAGTTCCTTTTTCGATGGCCAACTGAAGACATTCTACCTTCAATCTTCTGAAGGATGTGGAGGTGCAGCATACAAAATACTTGGGACAAGATGTATTTGGAATATTTTCATAACCACAATGAGACATCTTGTAGGGTACCTGTATCTTGTCAGCAATCCATCAGCAAGGTATCGGAATTTTCCACTTCTAAGACATTGGGGCTCAAAGTCTTGGATTTGGGGATGTTTCTTTATGGATTGAAGTTGTTCAACTTGTGTGGTCTGCCAGTCACAACTTCCTAATGCCATGCTTCACACAAAGCGAGGCTACCAGCATTGCCCAGTTAGGGTCTTGCCTTTCTCACACATTTCTGCCTCAATTTGATGGCAAAACAGACAGATTGTCAATGGTGTAACTAGAAGCCACTGAGGATTAGAAAAGCAAAATGGCTTTAATAACATTATTCAGCAACATCAAGGACAACCAGTTCAAGTTCTTTGACTCTAAGACCCATCCTACTTCCTTTTGCCCACACAGCCTGGAGAACATGACCAAACCACATCCCACTGTCTCAATACGGTCCTCAACAAAAAAACACCAGAGTTTCATTTAAGGCATCACCTTTCATGCTGTTGGCAAGTTTTTCCTAAGCAATACAATTTTTGCCTAAGTCTTACAAACTCTATATTCCTCTCATGCATTGAGCACCAACATCGGCTCTGAAATCAAGAGGCCCAAATGGACAAAATATTCACCTCCTCCCCAACCTCGGTCCCATTTTCCCTGCCATCTTCGAGCTCCTGAATTGCCCTGCCCCTGTTCATTGTGGGTCCTTTGTCATTTTATTTGGTGCTCTAGCAATCATTGTAAGCCTCACTTTTCCACTGGCAGAAGTTTGCCGAAGCGATGGTTTTGTAGTTCCCTCACACAAAAGGAGACCACCACAAGGGAGGTTTGAATTTACAGTTGCTCAAAGACCCTGAAGGAAATGAGAGTGTGCTGTAAACACAAATGTAGTCTGAAAGAACCTGCAGAAGTGTGTGAGCACAGATGAACATAGAACCTTTCCACAGGGGCTGTGCCTACCAGCCTTGGCTGTTAGCTGCATCCCCAGCACTGGCTTCCAGCATCCTAGTATAAGAGGAGATCCTCTGGATAGCTTCCCCTCCTTTGGAAATCCGTAAAGCATTGACTACCCAGACCCATAACAGGCCAGTTCCTTCAGCCTTTTTCACCAGCTGCACACTCCAGGCTTGAATACTACCCATAAATCTGGTTGTTTCCATGGGGGTAAATTTTAACAATGTTGTTTCCTCTATAATATTGTCTCCACATACTTTAGCTTCTGGAGCTGGCTTATTAAATTCCTTTTTTTTTTTTCTTAGAAAATCATGCTGAAGCCGAGAATAACCATGCTTTCCCATTTACCCATTTATTGAGGAAAGTGACCTAAAGTACAAAGCACAGCACAGACACGGATTTAAACTCAGTGTTTGCTTCAGTCATATGAAGTACAACACTGTGACATGTAATCTGTAGTTGATACCACAATCAATGTTTTCAGATTAAGAGACAAGTAGCCAGGCTGGAGCATCCATGGCTCAGTGGTTAAGAGCACTGGCTGCTCTTCCAGAGGCTCCAGGTTCGATTCCCGGTACCCACGTGGCGGCTCAGAGCCCTCAACACTCCAGTTCCAGAGGATCTGATACTCTCTTCTGCACTCCACCAGCACTGCACTCACATAGAGCACAGACACACATACAGGCAAAACACATAAAATAAGACACTGGTAGCCTCAGCCATCTATTATTTGCACTTAGCACAGTGTCTGGTAAGCAGGTGGTCAGGACTGAATGTAGGTAGGGTGAAGATTCTGTGCCCCAGCCAATGAAAGTCCAAGTTAACAGGAATTGTAAGTCCCGTCCCAGCCTCTCCCTTGGCTCCCAGCCCTACACCACAGCAACACTGGCTTCAGCATTAAGAACAGAGAAGTTAGGAACACTGAGGTTACAACTTTAAAAGCTCATCTTGTGTCAGTGAGTAAACAGGCAAAGATTCAAATGTTTTCCATTTTACAAGTCAAGACCATTTTTAAAAACTTGCATTTTTCCAGGCATTTGAAAATGTTGTTTATTTACAGTGTCACATTTTTTTTTTCATCCCAGCCCTTACACATAGGTATGCGTATGTCTGCCTGAGTCTATTGATTAAAGGTTTTGTCCTAATTACCCAGGTTATCTCATGGTGACAAGGGTGGGGCAGGTGGAGGGGAAACCCCCGGGATGGATCCTCATTTTTGCTTCACCTAAGGCTCTCACCTCCGCTGACTCTTGATCCAGGAGTGGATGTTGTTTATCTTAATACCCATCAGGTTCAGCAAAGCAGAAAACTGAACAGCTGGGAAGTATAGATTCTATCCAGACACTAATCAGAATAATCAAGTAAGACTCAGTGACAACATGTTAATTCAAGTGACTTCAATTTTATTTTATTTTTTTTTGTATAATCTTCAAAAGGTGGGAGAAGTGTCAGGTAGAGTTATCTCCCCACCCCTTTCCCCACCAAGCCAAATCACTCAGGAACTGGGATGTAGGAAATGCAATAGTAGACCATCAGTGGTACCATTACGTAGTTGGTTACAGCACCATGCTAATAAGCCAGGTCTGAGCACTGACTACTGCAAGGGCCAGTTAACTCAAGTCTGTCCCAAGGACCTAAGCAGCACTGTTAACTGTAGACTGCTTCCTCACAATGCACCTCACTGTCAGAAGACAAGGTCCCGGCAAGGTGGTTGGTGAATGAAAACAAATCTATCTACGCTAATGGAGGAAAAAAGAAATCCCATGTGTGCTACTGATAAAAGGTTAATGGAGAATCTTATCTTTAAAGGAAAAGCCACACATCATCTTAGCTCTATGCTCAACATGGTTCAATCTGAAAGAGTTGATGACAGTTAACAGTTAACTTGATCTTGGAACTCGTGACATTCTACAGCAAGCCACAGTAAAGGCCCTGATACTGTTACTTAACCCATGGAACTGGTAATTCCACATGGACATCCTTTCCTCTTAATAACTGTGTACCACATTTTTTTTTTTGCATATTTACCATTAGTCATTTGGTTCAAAGTACTGTGAAAAATTCAGCTAGAAAATTATTCATAAAACTGTATTCTGTATTTTATTTTCAAACAGCCAAGTGTCCACATTTAAAATGCAGAATTTGCAAATATAAGTTAATCTAATAATTCAATTTAAAATAAAGTAAAACAGCTTCCTTTAGTATCACAATACATAAAATGGTATTATAAACTCCAAGAGGCAAGGTGAACTCCATGACGACAGTGCCAAAAGCTATGAACTCGTTAACCCTCGTAACGTCAGTTCGAGTCTGATGACTAGGCATGAAACAAGCCGCCACTGTGCTCGGGAATGGCTCAGTGATTCACTCATGGTATAATGTGGGGTCAAGCAAGATGGTTTTTGGTTTTTTTTGTTTTTTGTTTTTTTTACAATGACAATAAAAAATCTTTCAACAACAACAAAAAAATCCTCCCAATTGTTTAAAGACAATTATACATGGAGGATAATTACATTTTAAAATATCTTGGCTAAATTTCAATGGTTAGGCTGCTGACCGCAGTGTAAAAGTTTGTATTTAAAAATATCACAAATATAGTATTTAACAGTGAAAATTTCAATGTGGTTAAGTTTCACTGTGAAGCGATTTCACCTGAGTAGACTTTGAAATCTAGTGCTCATGTTTTGGGGGAAGGGAAGGAAAGCCCCTCTTGTCTGATACTGAGTTTGCAGCTGATCCTCCCACTGACCCCCTAGGGTGCAGGAAGCATCTGCTGAGGCCTTCCCTTTCCCACATAAATTTACTCTTACCCATCAAATATTTCCATGTAGCTACCCATTCAAGCATAGCAACCCAATTCATTCAGTTCTATACAACGGCCTCTACATTATATACATGTTTAATTAGCAATAGAAAATAGAAAATAAAAATTTACAGTGATTGAGAAGGGGTCAGAGAATAAGACAGGAAAGTAATACTGTATAATCAGAATATCCTATCAGCCTACCACTTTCAATGACAAGGTTTTCTTTTATTGGTTGGAATACAAAGAAGGCATAAGGGATTCCAGGAAAATAACACTATGTCTCAGAAAATTCAACGTGCTCCACCATCAGGATTTCCATCACACATTTAATTTCTTCTGTACAATTTTTATAAATGTGTTTTTCTTTTCAAAGTCATCAGATTTCCAGGTGAAACTCAGCACTACACAGTATGCCCTTGAAGCAATGAGGTTAACCTGCTTTATTTGGGTACCAAGGTCCCTTCCAGACAGCATTAAAATAAAGACAAGTAAGACTAGACAGATAAAATCCAGTATAATTCAAACCCAACAATGAAAAATTTCCCCCATATTGTTGCAAAAGTCTTTCTACTGAAATGCTTTGCTACAATAATAAAAAGCATACATTACATAGAAAAGGTACCAGTGTACTAAAAAGTGACAGGAGTGGACTAGCAAATCCTTCAAAGCACAATATATAAATGACTAGCATTAAAAACATTTCCCTATAAAATGTAGGTCAGAATCAGTTATAAATTGGCGGCTTCATTTCTAAAGCAGTGACGGGTGTTCAGAGAGCTGTTCTGTACAGTACAGGATCTACTCACTTCAAGCTATAAGTTTGTCTTTCTTTGTATTGAAGTTGAGTAAATTCATCTGGTCAACTGAGAAATCAAGCTTGAAAAATAAGTATCTAAAAATCAAAGTAGAAAGTTTAGAATCATTGAAATGTAGCTATGAAATATGAAGAAATTTATCTACTTCACAATTGAACTGAAGTTACCTGAACACTTACGGGCTTGAATCTAAAACAGAAACACATATTAAAACCCAAAGCAAACCACAAAGTTAGGTAGCAGTACAGAAGCAGAAAAAAAGAAAAAAAACAAAAAACAAAAAACAAAACAAAACAAAACAAAAAAAAACCCACAAAAAAGCCCCACAAAAACAAAAACACATCCCTTCCTTCAGTGTGATGGGCACTAAGTTCTGTGGTCTTCCTCCATCTTTGCACAAGAGTGGTAAGGCCATTCAATGCTTAGTGAGAGTGAGCGCAGACGAAGCCAGGTCTAGCCTGTCTCCCCTGCAACGTCAATTATGCTGTGTAAACAGTGTTACGTTCCAACAGAAGGAACAATGGAATCTGCTTATAAAAACTGATTAAAGATAATCATTGTTAAATGAAATAAGGATAACTAACAACTCTGAAATGTTTCTATAGAACGTTCCTGATGCTACTTGTAAAGTTAGCACTGCTATGTATTATTGCTTACATACAGTACATCACACGCCTTCTAACATAAAGCCGTACTGTGATTGGTTTGTACATATTTACAGAGTCTTAAAAACAAGCTGTAAAAACATTACATACTTTCAGACAATACAAATTAGCACATTGGTACTCACTTCAAACAAATGGAATGCATAACATTAATAAACATCATAAAGGAAGACTCACATCAAAGTCCTTGATTGTCAAGACACGTTTATATATAAACTCTAACTGTGCAGAATTAAAGATTCAATCATAGGTACATCCTTACTTGATGAACCATATTTACAGCATGGTATTGCATAAAAAAATAAAATAATGTTTACAGGGTTTTTTACTTTTTTTTATCCATTGGATTAAAGAAAGCAACAAACACAACAAGAAATGTTTGTCTGCTTTAGCTTGTTTCCTACCAAAGTTTAGTTGGAGAAAGGAAACATATGGTTTTTATTTGCAGAATATAGCAAAAACAACTGGAAAATTATTTCCCTGAAATAAAGCAATTTGAAACGGAAAAGGTTTAAATTAAATTGCAGACTCAAATAAATTCTCACTGATTCTAATAGTGCTTCTTCAAGTAAACACACGGAAAAGATGAGCTCTACTTTACAGGTCCTAGGGAGGGCAGCAGGCAGTCAGTGTGCCCACTCCAAGGCTCCCGGCCTCCCCTTTTTTTTTTTTTTTTTTTTTTTTTTCTCATTTCATTTATTTATTTTTAAACAGCCCTTTAAAAACCCAAATCAGTAAAATCAGAGAAGTGGCAAAAGATCTAACCTCACTGGCACTTTGCAAGTGTCTCTCATCTGTGGGAATGAAAGCTTGCCCTGAGCACAAGGCCTCTTCTACCTCTTAGGAAGATAAAATGACCCATTGTTGGCACCCTGAGTCAGAGCTAAGATGGTGGATTCCTACCTGCCTAGGTAGCACATGCGCACTGTAGATCAAAGACAAAAAAAATGTGTAGGAGCCACTCAGCTATTCTAAACCCAATGAAATAATGTGCAGTAATAACTGAAGCTCAAAAAGCAACAATGTTTCCAATGCTGGAGAGCTCCTGCCCTGTCTAGTGGGAGGTCTCCCCAGCCCACACAGGACCAGGAAGGACCTGTGAGAAAGCACAACAGGCTCACGGTGAACAAAAGCTGAAGGGCATTAGGAGCTACTACTCCTCTACAAGACTTTGCTCACCGAGAGAGATGAGAAGTGTGAACTGACAGGGATCCGTCTCGAGCAGCACACAAGGCCACTTCCTTCCTCTAACACCCAGAACTTTCTGAACCAAAGTGGAGAAACCCAACTTTTGAGATGCTTCTCGAATGATGAAGAAACAAGCTGAGCCTGGCAGGCATTCAGGACTTCACAGTAAGAGTGATGACTACACTTTAATGGTAAGTCAATAAGTTATGCTGGCTATCAGTTACCTCAAATGTTATAACCTGGTAGGAAAGTCTGCCATCGTGTAGATTTAAAGAAACGTGTTTACGACAGGAATGCAACACCTGAAATTCTGTTTACAGAACTTCCATTTTCCAAGCCTTTTCTTCCTAAGGGTACCTGAACCGCTCAGCAACTGTCACATTCTTAAACCTGTGCTGGTGATGTTACAAACAAAACCCCTTACACTGTACAAGAAAAGTATCCAGTTCTCAGTGGAACTACAATTTTTTAAAATCAGGCTCGACTTAGGAAATTAATGTCTACTCTTATCAAAAGTACTATAGAAAAATACAAACGCTCATAGAGGGTGAGCACGGTCCCATAACACCTCATCTGATGAAGCATTCCTGCGCTGAGGTGATGTGCCACCGACACAGCGGTCTTCAGACCAATGGCAGAACTTAAAATATTTACTTCAAAGAAGTCTTAAAGTTCTTGAAGATCTGACAGCAAAGCTGTCAAGTGGGAAAACTATGATTTCAAGCAAAGTGTCATAACAAAGTGTAGAGGAAACCACATATTCCTTGTCATAAAAACACCAACATATTAAAAAATAAATGAGTTTAAGTGAATGATACGGGGTGGGGGGGATATTTCTTTGTTCCCTTTCTTTGTGAGAACAGTCTTGGGATAACATTAAATAAAAGAAAAATAATTTAAATGGATAACATATTCAACATTGAAACAAAGCACGCAGGTCTACAAGGTCAACAGCAAAGTCAAAGTGGAAGTTATGGAAAGCTTCATCTCCCAAGGGTACTAGTTTCAGGTCACCACTGGTGCATTTCGATAAAGATGGCAGAAATTTGAAGTACAAAACCCAAAAAGGTGGAACAAATAAAAGAGGAGGGCAGAGTCAGTGTAACTAATGTTAAGTCTCCAAAAATTAAAACTGTCCAACGTGTAACTCAAACCATCATTCTTCATAAAAGTGTATATATATATACGTGTATATAAAAGCACTATTTATTGTACCATGCTGTATTATTTTAAGACAAAGTATACATATATAAAAAAAACATTCTTCGTATAAGGATAAAGTCTGTAGTTTATTTAGATTTTGAAATGCAACAAAAAATTTCCGATCACTCATCTAGCTGAAAAAGAAATTGCAGTTACTGGAATCAGTAAGCACTTCCTCTTTGTAAAACTGTTGTGAGCAGTATTCACTTAAAAGTAACTTAAATAAGCAATTAAAATGCCCATTTCTTTAGTTTCTTGGGATACTGTTTAATTATCCAATCTATCAAGAGTCCAGAAAGAGAAGAATTAGACCAGGTTTTACAGTCCAAAGATATCCCAACTTCCTTTTATTGCCAAAAAGCAAAATTGTCAATTACGAGATGATTATGACACAACCATATCAAGCCTAAAAAATCTATTTTTTTTAACTTTGAGAAATCAAAAATACCCGATTAATTCTAAGTGCTCTATGTCAACTGAAGTGTGTAAAGTGAAATACATCTCAGCTTTAAAACGTGGAATATACATTGCGTGTAAGCATTATTTTTTTTGGGAATGTAATCTACAGAATATTTCTTTTTTTTTTTTTTTTACTAAAACTTCAAACCTTGATACTTGCACATGAAAAATCATAAAAAATATCTAAGTATACCTGTACAAAGAAACTGACACCGATATGCATACTTCCGTAGAGAAGTGAATGTTTCAACAGTTGTGTGTTTTGGTAAAAGTTTTGAAAGTATGCATACTTTAAAAGTAATTAGGCTTTTAAATAGTGGAGTCTTAGACTATCAGATTTTTATTACTTTTTTCTTCAAAAAAAAAAAAACACATGTCAATATAATGCAAAATGAAAATCAAGGGCATATGGCATATCATTTTTAAGGTGGTTTCTTTTTATTCCCCCCTATAGGACAAACTACTTATTTAAGCCATAATCTCTTGACATGGAAACTTTAAGTTCACTGTCTGTGAAGTGTCCTCGGATTCCCTGCTCAAGTGCAATACTATGCTGAAAACTTAGAAACAGTATGAGGAAATTTCACACAATTACTACTCTCCTAAGAATGTACAATGTTATCAGTTAGGAAACAATTGTGCGAAAGTCTTTTTCCTTTTTATCTTGGTGTGGGTCGATAGCAAGGTTCTGATCTAAAACGAGTAAATGCATTGCTCTATAACGGTGACAACACATAAGGCAGTTCGAGGAATGCGCACTAACCAAACGAAATGCAGGTATTGGATTATCTTGCTATTCTTATCAGCTTGCTATGAACGCATTGCTCTTAAATCTGTATAGCACTCCATTTTACACAGAGGAACCCACTCTCGATTAATCTGTTCTAAAGTGCCAGTATTATTTACACTTTTTTTTTTTTTTTTTTTTTTTTTTTTTTTTTTTTTTAGCCAAAAGTCTGGCCAGTTGTGGCATCTGGTGAAGATGTCATCCCAGCTCTATTATCATTTACATTCACCAAGGGAAATTCTGAAAATTCAGCACTTGTCCCTGGTCCCCGAAGGTTCACCTGTCCATTGGCAGTGCTAAATTGAGTTGCTATCCCAGCTCTGGATCCATGATATGGAGCACGGAAGGGCTGTTCAAAGGAGCTCATTTGGTAAGCCTGGTGGACAGGCTGTGCCTCAGCTTTCTTCTGAGAAGTCACTTGATCCAAAAAGTCTGCAGTTGATGTGGCAGAGGCGTGGTTTGTCTCGTCACCTGAAAAGGGAAACGGGTGCTGTGAGTCACCAACTATTAGTCCAAAGTGGGACTTATCTGGAGTTGTTCTTAATGGAGAATTCATTCCTGATCGAAAGCTATTGATGGGCATGGCTGTATAGACTTGCTTGTCTATGGAAGAGAATGCTGGCGGATTTGGAAGGGTCTGGTTATCAGTCACAAAGTTAAGGCTTGGGCTATTCAAATAGGCATCATTTTGGCTAGTTCTGTCCAAAGCCTGCTGCAAGAATTTGGAGTATTCCTGCAGCATGTTAGCTTTATCTGCCGAGGATGCTTGGGAGCTTGATCCAACATTCTCTGATGGGGTGACTTCGGGTACGTCAGAAGAATTGATTGATATGCTAGAAGTCACTTCCGTATCGGCAACACTGAAGGAAATCTCGTGCTGTCCATTAGCCTTGTGGGAGTGGGAGTAATGATCTAGCAGAGTCTGCAGGACCTCATCTGGAATAACGCTTTTGTCATGATTGCTCTTAATCTCCACATTAAGTGCCTGGGAATCCAGTATGGATGCTGTGGTGCTCTCGTCAATGACGCTGGCCACAGCTGCTTGTGTGACCGAAGGCTGAGAAGCTATGGTACCCACATTCAGCGCGTACTCCCTGCTGTTGTTACTTGCAGCTTGAAGATAACGCTTCTTTTTCAGAAACTGCATGGCATCATCGTAATTAGTACTGCTGTGCACAGGTTTGCTGGGCCCCTCCTGCAAGTTATCCACTTGATCGATGTCAGCACTGCCTTCCGAGTCCAGTAAAGCCTGCTTATCCACAAGCTCAAATGCATACTTTGAAACTTTGCTGTCTTCGTAAGTGGACAGGGGTGAAATGGTTTGATTTTGTTCCAGGGGCTGTTTCAGACTTCTCTTACTATTGATTTTTTTGAGAACCAACTTGGGAGGGTGTATTTCTCCAGATGCATCTTCCAAATGGGATCCTCCAACTGAAGAATGTGGCATTTCAACAGCATATTCTGCAACCATGTATTCATCTTTAACTTTAGTGCTTGAAGAGTAGAGGGGCAGGTAATCATTTTTGTCTTTCTTCATGTCAGATTTGTCCAAGGTACTCTCTTTGTCCATTCCAGATGATTTCTTCTCAGTTTTTTGCCTTTTCTTTTTTGGCAGTGAATTATCTTTTGGTGATGTAGAAAAGCCAGAATCTTCCTCTGAAGTGAGAAGGCCACCTTTGATGGCACATCTGTTGAGTTTTTTGTCATGATTTTCATGGCACATACGTTTATGTTTCAATACACGATCTGTTCTGGAAAAATACTGTTGAAATCAGAGGTTGGAAGTAGTTTTTTGTTGTTTTTATGATTTTTTTGGTCAACAAGGAAGAGAAGAAAAGAAACAAGACAATTAATAACAATATTAGACAATTCCAAAACAATTCACTGATCAAGTTTCTGTTATAAATCTCACCAAAGAGCTGAAAATCTCAAATGGTTCTAGTACTAATGGTACCTAACCATTACTTATTTCACAATGCAGTTAGGTAGGAAAATTCAAACTGGTTCACTTACCTGTAAGCAGTATTCACACTGGTAAGGCTTTTCTCCACTGTGAGTTCTCTTGTGCCTTTCCATGTGATATTTCTGTATGAATCTCATACCACACTCATCACAGCGAAATGGTTTTTCACCTAATACATGATTTAAAACATGTAAAACAAAACATTGTCAAATCACAGACTGCTTTGCCAATGGATCTCTTAATGTAAACAGCTTTTGACAGTCACAATATTTTGCTCCTTTTAAATGACAAAAAAAGTCTTCCATATACTAAAGGCTGAAAGCAGGCACATTAAAAGAATGTCATCAATGCAATCTAATGTAATTCTTGGGTACAGATTTTTAAAAAATATTGTATCACACCTGGAGACTTCATTTATTCATTCATTCATGTGCCATATACCATGGCACATATATGGAGGTCAAAAGATAACTTGTGGGAGTCGGTTCTCTCCTTCTACCATGGAGATCTCAAGTTTGAACTTTCAGGCTCTCAATCAGTCTTGACAGCAGACACCAACATGAATTGAGCTATCTTGCTGGCCAGAGGGCAGCTATTTTAGTCTTAGTTTCTTTCCTTTTTAATTTTTAAATCACTACTTGGAGGTAGACAGGACAATTTGAGGGAATCCATTTTCTTCTCCCACCATGTAGGTCCTAGGGATTGAACTCAAGTCATAAATAAGGGTTGTTGTTTTAACTCTTAATTCCTTTAAAAGCACTTGGGAGTAAATAAAATCTGGATCCTCGGAAAGTATCTCTTACAACAGAGTTTACTAACACAAACAATACTGGGACAAAATTTCCCAAGTAAGGTTGGGGTTGTAGTGTGTGTGCTGCACAGCATACATGCAGCCCTGAGTTTCATGCCCAGGACTGCAAAAACAGAAACAAAGGAAGGTTTATTTGCCTCTCTTTCTTAGCGCAAACCTGAGTTTCTGGTATCATCTGTGGAAAGAATTAAACTGAGTGCTGTCAACTGGACACACAGCTGTTCTCATCACCCTCTCTATAATCCCTAAGGATTTCTTAGCTGTGGGGAAACATTACTTGAGTTCAAATAACTTGTATTGATACCGGGGATGGTAGATGTCTGAGTGACCAGCAGAGTAACAGAGTCATCATGAATGCTTTCCAGGAAACTAATGCTCCCCCCATCACACCTTCAACAGAATGTTACTGAAATACTGTAAAATGTTCTCTTTCATGCCTCCCCATGTCTGCATGTATACAGTGTATCTTTCACTATTCTAATGAAATCATTTGTCTGCAGTTGACTCTGTGCTTTCTTCTTGAGATAAGGTCTCACTATGTAGCCCGTGCACTCTGTAGAACAAGACCTTGACCTGTGTCTTCCTCATGTACCTGCCTATTAGCTACTGTTCCCACACATTACATTAAAAAGCAGTAACGCTGATGTCTTGTTCCTGATTTGGGCACTTGCATGTGGTTTGCAACTGCTGAACAGAAAGAAGTGGATATAAAATGACAGACACATCTTCTCCATGAAAAATGTAGAAATTGAATGAAACTTCTTTTGACTGCTTTTTTCCTTGGAGGGCTTGAGATCCTCTGTTGGAAAAGGAAGCCAATCTATATAGACTACTTAAATGATTTTAAGACTGACATAAAAATTTACATGAAAAGTAGTAAGTTTGTGATTTTTAAAAACTCATTCAAGAAAACATAATATATTCATATGAATATATGAATTCATATATTCATAATATATGAATATAAGAAAGCATAACATCATCTCAATATGTTCCACAAACACTGCTCCTTTAGTTCAAGGGCTCTGGGTTTTGTTTTTGTTTTGGTTTGGTTTTTAGTTTTTCAAGACAGGGTTTCTCTGTGTAGCTTTTGAAGCCTGTCCTGGTACTCGCTCTGGAGACCAGGCTGGCCTCAAACTCACAGAGATCCGCCTGCCTCTGCCTCCTGAGTGCTGGGATTAAAGGCGTGCACCACCACACCCAGGGAGTTCTGGGGTTTCTTAGTCGTGACTGTGATGTTTCACCCTGGTCACATGACACTGAGAACATCAGCAGTCTGCGGGTAAGGATGGACACCTTAGATGGCTTGAGCGTGTCCCACAAAGCTCCTGATATAATGGCACTGGGGGGGGGGGATGTGGAATCTTGAGGAAATGGAGGCTAGTGTGAAGTGACTATACCACCACAACACCCTCAAAAGTAACTTTTTCCACTTTCTTTCTTTCTTTCTTTCTTTCTTTCTTTCTTTCTTTCTTTCTTTCTTTCCTTCTTCTTCTATTTTTTTTTTTTTTTTGTAGCCCCTAAAGTTACTTCTTTCAAGAGAACTAAATGGTTGTTCTGGCCTCATGTTTTGCCTTCTAATCACTCACACTCTGCCATGTGCCACCTGACATGATGTGACATGGTTAGGGGCCCTCACCAGAGGCCAAGGTAACAGAGCGACATAGTCTTGACTTAAACCTCCAGGTGGCAAGTGACAGAAAGTGCTTTCTCTATGAAGTACCCACAGCCGGTGTCACTTCATTTCAGCATTCTGCTACAGTAGTTATTGGGTAGGTTATATATGTGAGTATATAAGGACCTAGGTTTCATGCACAATCTAACTCTATATAGCTTGGCATAATCATCTGATTTTTGACAGTCTGAACCAATTCTTCCTCTTCAAACTTTATTCCAAACTAGGTTTAACCACCATCCTATCAAAATAGTTCTTTTTGTATTGTTTTGTTGTTTGAGACAGGGTCTTGATATGCAGCCCAGGCTGGCTTGAAGCTTGCTATTTATTTAGGGCCATGCTGGTCTTAATTTCACCATCCTTCTGCCCTAGCCTCCCAAATGCCAGTATTATGGCAGGTACCACCACACCAGGCCCAGTATGGCTATTAGGAATCACCACAAAGTTGTTAATTCAAAGAACTCTCTCTTCAGCTACCTTGCTGATCCTCTTATTGCCACTCAGCTAGGTGACACTGTCCTTGAATTGCCATGGCTTCTAGGATACCAACACTCCCTCAGTTTCACAGACTCCTCCTTCCTGCCACTGTTTCCAGCTGACTCTCCTCTGAATGCAAATGTCCCCCAGCCTTCCACCTTTCTCATTCTGTGTTCTTTTCTTTGGCAAGAGGGAAGCTCATCTATGGTCATGGCTTTAATTATGCTCAACTCTAATCTCCAGACCCACATCTCCAATCAGTCTATTCAATGTATCTATTTTTCTTTTTCATTTTAGCCTTATTTTATATGTATGAATGCTTGCCTTCATGTACATATGCTTACCACCTGTGAGCCAGGGGTGGGAGGCCATCAGTGGGTGTCAGACCCCCTAGACCTAGAGTTATAGGTGGTTGGGGGCCACCACATGTATTCTGTGAATGAAACCTGGGTCCTCTGCAAGGGCAGCCAGTGCATTTTTTAACCACTAAGCCATCTCTTCACACCTGACATTTCTGATACTTAAGCATCTCAAATACATCACATCTCATACTAAACTTAAGATCTTCAACTACAACTTAGATTACAATGGCGCTACTATTCACTTAGCTGTGCAAGTTAGAGGCCTGGAGAACTTTACTCTGTAGTTTCGTATTTGCCCAATTAACAGATCCTACTGATTTCCTCTCAGTTTTCCACTGTTATTACCCAAGTTTAAGACATTTCCTGGCCTTGAAAGTGATACAATGCCCCTCTAACTAGTTGTGTTAGTTACCTTTTCCTTGAAGCAACAAGTTTCTGAAGTAAATAATTTAAAAGAAAGAAAGATTCAGTTGGCTCATACTTTCACAGGTGTAGCCCACAGCTGGCTCCACAGTCTTCCTCCTGCTCATGTGAGACTGTATACAGGCGCCTCAGCCTTCTTGCTATTCCTCCTTAATAATTATACAGAGTAGCAAGGGATAAAAAGCCATCCTCAAAAGCAAACATTCTTCGTCACTAAATGTTTTTCCTAATCAGGGCCTTAATTAGGGCCCGTAGACTTTCTGCTGATTCTCCGGTCCCTAATGTCTTATTATTTTGCTATAAAAAATAAAAGACTTGGCTGTTCATATTAACTGTACTTTATGCCGAATTTCACACACACACAGTTTATTTCAGAGTAGGAAACATGATAAACAGTAAAGCTGGAGACGGGTGTGGGAGACAGGGATGGAGAGAAGATGGCTAATAGCAACAACAGGGCAGAATAACCATGGTCTAAATCTATTTATTGTCAATTCCTATTAGTGAGGATTCTGAATGTTCCCCAGACAAAGAAAAGATAATGTCTGAGGAAATGAATGTGTCGGATTTCTCTGATCTGATAACTGTTGGCTTTTCTATTACTATGTTCCTTCTTACAGATTCTTCATATCAAATATACTTCTTGATCACAGGGCTTTGTTTTAGTATAGTCTGACTCTATTCTGCAGTATTTAAGCTATTTACATTTAGGATACTTTCTCAACTATTTTGGGTTAAACATAATCACACACTATTTGCTTGATATTTGACCACTTGGTCTCTGTTCCTTCTGCTCCTCTCTACTGCTTTAGGGGCAACTCAGGCACAGTCTCAGCACCTCTAACCCAGAATTTTGAAATCGGAGATGCTCCAAAATGCAAAACTTTCTTTCTTTTTCCCCCATTTTTTTAATTTGAATTAGAAACAAGATTGTTTTACATGTCAATTCCAGTTCCCTCTCTCCCTCCCCTCCAAAACTTTCTGAATACCAAAATGAAACAAGAAGCAAATCCCACAGGTAACCTCCCATTGTATGTTACAATATAGGCTGACATATTAAAAGTTTTTAGCACATTACCTTTAGGCTATGTGTGTAATGACAATGAATTTCATGTTTTACTTGGGCCTAACCCTAAGGCATCTTAGGCAAAGGCAGGTGTTATAAAATCTAAACCATTTCAATTTTAAACACTTTTGGGTCCCAAGTATTAGGGTAAAGGACACTCAAACTGTATCCATTTATTTTTCTGTCCTATTTGATTATACTGACTATAACTTGCTTTACTATTCTTTTTCTTTCTTGTTGTTTTGCTTTGTTTTGACACAGGTTCCAGACTTCCACAAAACTGGGCCTATCATCACTCAGTTATGGATGGGGGGAGCTCATAAGGCCCCACCACACTCTGAGGACCTATAGGTCC